AGGGAAATCAAAATCTTTTATGATAATGATAAGTATAATTGCAAGAGTAAGAGTAAATCAAAACAAATTTGATTCCAATATGTCTTAATTACCAGAAACCTATATGAATATGAGCAATGACGCTAAAAGCAAATACTATTGGAGGAGGCAAAGGCCACTAAATAGCAAAGAGATTACCATGCTTGACCTTTTCCAAATCTTAAATAAATAAATAACTGAAAATGTCCCTTTCAAATAAGGTCGTCATCAACTAATTGGTTTTTTTTTATTTTTTTTTTATTTTTTATATATATAACTTTCACCATTTAGCTCTTCATAGGAAACAATGACTCTTTTTTTTTTTTTTTTCTATTTTGTTCTTAAAAAAAAGATAAATTAATCAAATAAGGCCATAATTCAAGTATCAAAATGTACTAGTTGAAGAAACTATGAAAACAATATAAAATTTCAAAAAAAAAAAAAAATTACAAATCTTTGTATAAATTTATAAGTGCATTACGTATGTGTACGTAGATTGTACGTGTATAGATCAAAAGAAAACCTTTCAGATCATTAATTATATAAATGAATGAATAGTCCTAAAAAATGATAGAGAATAAATAATTCTTTGGTTCCAATCCAGCTTCAACTCAAATGTAACTCGTTTATAAAATCAAAATTCAGTACGGTAGGCGTACTCTGTTTTCTTAGATTAAGGTACTTCAATTTTATATAATTATATATATTTTTTATTTTTATTTTTTTAATTTTAAGTGGGAATTCAAACTTATGATGCAGTCAAATGTAAATATAAAAATATATATAATTTTGTTTATTTTATTTCTACAAAAATAGTAAAGCTTCATTTTGTACAAAAGAAAATTTTATTCTATATTGTTGATTATGATATGATATTTACCACAAATTTTTATTATGACATATCAAACAATCGATAAACATTAATGTTGGATATTAAAATTAGAGAAAACTATATAGCTTGCCATATTTTTGTGCATGCCTATTATTTATGTCATTTTAAATAATTAGTGTCATTATGGTCTTTTGTTTTCGTTTTATTTATTGAATGACAATTGTTTATTTTTTAATAGAGTGACGTGACAATATTTTTTACCACCTTGAATGACATTTTTATTAATTGAATGATAATTGTTTATTTTTTAATAGAGTGACGTGATAATGTTTTTTACCGTCTTGAGTGATATTTTTATTAATTAAATGACAATTGTTTATTTTTTAATAGAGTGACATAAGTCTAGCGTTATATATCCTATTGATTGGACAAGACCTTTTCAATCCAATTGAAGCTATAAATATTCTAAATCGAGAATATCCTGAAATGAGTGAAAATAAAAAAAAGCATTGTAACAACCCTTGGTGATCATCTGCTTCTAAGATCACTGAAACAAACGAATTAAAGCCCTCAATATTTTTTTGTTTGATGAACGATCCAAATGCTAATTAATTGTTTGATGAATACTACATAATACCTAAGTCAAGCCAACTAGACACAAACAAGCAAAGTCAGGTAGGTTTTGCTTTGGCATATGATTACGCTTTTGAGCTACAATTTAATTCCTTTAGTTTTACAAGAATCCCAGAAAAATAAAAAATCCCAAAACATTGATATTTGATGATGCATATACAAGATCCAGTGCATATAGTACAAATATATATATATATATATATCAAGAGAAAACATATAGTACAAATTATTAATGAAGCACTAATTAGAAAAATTAGATATCATGCATGAAAACTAACTATACAATAATGCTCACCTAAACTTTGGTGTAGCCTCCAAAAGGATAATATTTCGCCACATATTAGCAGGCGTCACATTGTTAATTTCCTTTTTGGAATTTAGGTAATGATAATGACGAAAAACATAAATCAATTCAGCATGATGATGGTGGTGGTGATACATCTTCGACCGACCATCACCACTTTACCACAAATTAAACATAAAATTAATCTTGATTAATACGGTCTTAGCTTTTGGACGTCTCTGAGTTGTGACAATGAGATACTTTCTTTGAATGAATTAAATAAATTGTGCTTTTTTTTTTTATAATATTTCCTGGAATGAATAAATTCATTGAATGGTGAGGAAGAAATGTATGGTATATTGCTATTGGTCATATTTGTTTGTAAATTAATAGTAAAAAAAAAAGATCTTTTTGTATTACCCTATAATTCACTAGTTAGCGTCCTTTATTTATTGGCTAGTTATGGTGTTATTTGAAAGTATTAGAAATTAGGTTTCGTCCCTACTCAAACACATAAAATGATAAAAAAGGTTGTGGTCTTTTGTTATGCCATGCTAAGAACATAATGAAACAGATGTCATTTTAGGAAAAGTGTTAAAGATAGCTAAAAAGTTCAGTCACATACTACTGATTATAATACAAAGATTATAACAATTTTTTTTTTTTTTTTTGAGTTCTCACTGATTATAATTTTAAATTATAACAAATTTTTTTTTTTCCGAGTACTCAATTATACTAACTTGTAATTAATCAAATGAAGCCTAAGACCTTTTAGTCTAGTGGCACTCACGGAGTTTGGGTGCGGTGAAATTTGAGTGGGGTTTGCGGGTTCAATCCCGTGTTGTATAAAAAAACAAAAACAAACACAAACACAAACGGGATTTTTGTTTTTTTTGTTTTTTGTTTTTTTGAAGAAATTATTGTCTCCAACACAATTCAAAGGTTGTATATGACTGTCGAAGCCCTACAGGCCCTGAGCTGAAATAACTTGCCTTAATCGGCAAGAATTTTATGCGGTTTATATCAATTGCGTGGGCCACGGTAGCCAACAAAGTTACAAGTCAATTCTCTAATGATTGTTGTTGCCATCCAATTCTTACCAAAGTCTTGTATGACAATTTACACACACAAACATAAAAAAAATTAAAAAAATATTGCATGGTGACTCTCATGGGATTATAGTCAACCAATTTTATATCAATATTTGCTCTCAAAATTCTTGACATTAAAACCAAAAGTAGCTCCACTATTTTGAAGCAATAGGTTCACTATAGCTCCACTATTGTATTATGTCAACCGGCCAATTTGCAGAAAAATGCCAAAAACAAACATGTAGGAAAGAAATTACTTTCTCAATCACATAATGGGATTTCGTCGGTCAATTTTCATAACTATTTTCGTTGACATGCAATGATGATAGAATAGGGGCCAATTCAGTTTTCACAAATGTGTGATGAATTCTTTTTGATGAATGGATAGAAACCACTCCTTGGACATGTTTCACTATTGCTTCCAACTTTTGCTTTAAACATGTGATGGTTATAATTATGCCGTGTCTGGAAAGCATGTGGTTTATGGCTCAAATATGAAACTGCTTTAAAAATTCGAGTGCTCTTATGTGAAGGCCCTTTCATGAACAATTTTTTTTGAATAGCATGGAATATAGAATTCGCTATTTACAATATTTCAAGATTTTAAATGTGTATCCTCTGTCCAATCAATCTGGAACTAAGGTGAATAAAGACCCTTTTAGAAAGTATACTTAAACCGTGATTTAAGTTTATTGGCGGGAACTTTGTAAGAAATTTTTTTTTAAAATTTAAACTATTTGTGAAATAAAAAACACTCTAATAGAATCGTAATTTGAGTTTGAATATGACTTCCAAACAACTCATAAGTTTTAGATGTCAAGTGGTTGTAGGGTTGGCCTAGCGTCAAATCAACACTTGCCTGACGAGGTCTACTATTTGAATCCCCATCCCATATTAAACCAAAAAAAAAAAAAAAAAAAGTTTTAGATGACTAACAAATGGTTTGTAGGGCTGAAGAGTAATTGAAACCAAGAGCAGGCACAGAACTTGCATTGATCTGCGTAACATATTCTGAAATTGGAGTCCAAATGGGACTTCTGCAACCATTGAGGATCATATTACTTTTTCCAGATTCCCAAAAAGTAATAAGGCTTTTTACATCTCAAGGGAAAACTTGGTGGCAAGGTTTGGAAGGCTTCTAATGTGAGGAGAAACCGATAATGGTCTTGAAAGGCTTCTAATTCTATTACTAAAAAATAGTTCATACAAGCATTAAATGAGCTATTTGCATTCTTATTAAGACATCACTCTTAGACTCTTGTAAACAAGGAAAATTAAGTATCTGCAAAGCAAACAAATATACTGCAAACAAACTTATACGCCATTGCTAACTTGCTTAATATGATAATCATCAGCACCCAAGCAAATCACATACCATGAAAAATAACAGAATTCGCATGCACTACAAACAACAATAACATTTTCCAAGAGAAAACGGGAAAACTGTTAACAGAACACATCTGGGATTTTCATAATAAAGAACAATGGAGCATTGCCATACAAAACTGAGTCTGCAACCAGCAACCAGCAACCATATTGGAGAGGCATCACTGACTACGATTCACTCTATCTAGTATTACAGTTGATCGACACGCCTATTTCCTAAACTACCTCATCAAATCAAGCATCTTTAGCAGACCTGTTATCATTAATGAATGTTCCCACTGATTTGAACCAATGCATAAGTTTCCTGTGATCCTTTACATATAGCCACGCTTGAAGAAATGGAAAGAGACTATCATTCACTCCGCGCTCGTCTATGTAGCCATGGAATGCATCTCTCATCCTTTCATCAAGGTCTCTGTAAACGAGTAAAAGCTTAAATCAAACACAGACGCTTTATTAACACAAATAGCAATAAACAGACATCTTTAAGTCGTACAATCATGAGAAAATTTTGCCCCAAATAATTAGTGTCATCTTGCTATTACCTTTTTTTTTTTTTTTAATCTTTTGACCGAATCATCTCACCATTAAGCGTTAGACAACATGAAATGTATCGGCTATGCAAGTATTATGAGATGCATCTTTTACGGATTCAAGACAATATAATTCAAAATAAATTTGATAAGCGATTTTAAGGCACACTGTTCCAAATTTCAATCATATCTACTTAAAAGAATTTCCAAGAAAGTTACTTTGACAATAATGATTCAAAAACTCTAGACAGCATGCCTTTTTTTACAAATAAAATTAGTACAAGACCGCCAATTCTCCCAAAAGAAAGTAAATATTCAGCTACACATTCTCTTTCTTCAAGATACAGTAATTAAAACTGACCGACAAAGAAGTGAAAAAATTCATAGTAAAGAACATCGTGTCCACTGATTTACTCCATGCCTAAGATAAATACTTTTTCTAATAAAGAAAATTGAGAATCCGAGATAACTGGTTTGCTCCATTTTGAGCCATCTGTCCATCAATAAAAATTGAATTTAACGTGATGTAAGACATGCTAAGTTTGAACTTTTAAAAATTGAGTAAAATATCAGTAATAAAGGATCGACCATTTATTTTAAAAGAAATTTTTAAGCGTACAACACTGGAAAAAGAAAAGGCTACTGAGCAATGGTGTTGCGACTGCTTGCACTCTTTTCTTCAGTTCTAAGTGATTCAACTACAATATGCTGTTAGACTCTTCTGTCATCCAATTCTAAGCTTCAGTGTCTTCTTTATCCCACTCGTACCATGAACACTTTTCTTACTGCCGAGTCGTTGACAGAGGAAGCAATGTGACCATTGGACTCGGTCATTCAAGAGCCAAATAGTTTGTTGAGGGTTCCTACTAGTGATGATGATGATGCTAGGACAATTTGATAAAGACATAAGGCAGACTAATGAAAGGATTTAGGGAAAACAACAAAAATTATTTTATGATTATTCTTCCTTTTCTTCGTATTATATCATTCCTTTTATTTTATAAACTTCCTTTTGATTCCTTTCTACTAACACATGCTGCCTCAAACAATTTGAGCAAGAGTCCAAGACACCACAATTTATGCCCATTTCTCTTTTCTCTGACATTTGCAACACAAAATAACCCAATAGCAGAATTGATGAACGCTCAACATGATCCACAAAGAAGAGTTTGACTTGGAAAACATTATAAACCCTAGATTGGTTAGCATAGTAGTAGTTTTCTATAAGCGCATACCAAGACTCCTCCAAATTGTTCAATTCAACATCTATATGTTCCATAATTGTTAACTTTTAAGCGTTATATTTTTCCCATTAACCTTGATTTTATCTTTTCAGTTATAAAACTGCATTGAACAAAAAATAATAATAAATAAAAAATAGCCGGTGACTCCACCGTAAAGCATACATAATAAACCCCCTAACTCATTTCAGAAAAGGCCCATCAAGCCCTTTCTCCAAACTAGTCAGCGTCTTCAATAAATCCCATCCATCACTCAGCTTCATCAATAACTCAGGAGTCACACTCTCTCCACTTCAACTTTTAAACGTGTTATTTAATGAACCTCAAACAACAAATACTGAGTCAGGAAACATAACTTCGAATCCAAACTCGTATCATCACAACTAACCCCAATCTGATAAACAAAAATGAAACTGAATTTCAATCAAGAAAACAGATAAGTAGCTCCATTGAGCTAAAGATACAACCAAAATTTATTTTATTTCATTAGTTAAGTGTAAAATGCAGGCCCTACTTTTATAATTATTCTTAGAAATGGGTGTTGCACTAATAAAACTTAAACCACCTAACCTAATAGGGCTATATCACATAGATCTTCAAACAAACAAAAACCATCCTTTGATTTCTACTTAAACAATGACAAAAACAGTCCCCTATAACTTTCAACATATTTTGTTACAATAGCTATTTCATGAACTTTTCAATTGTTTCAATTTCATTTTAGTCCCTAAAACATCAATAAAACAGTAATAACGATTTATTATTATTATTTTTTTAATAGCAAGGTTAGATACTACTAGAGCACTACCATTCATATGAAATAGTTTAGCAAGTAATCACAGAATTAATCAAAAAAAGAAAAAGATGATTCTCAGTTCTTACTCAAAAACAGGGCCACTGTAAGAGGACGTAACGACATTGGATTCCAAGGGCTCGAGCTTGGGCCTCATGGAGACGGAGTGAATCCCCAGGGCGTCAGGATACAAGCCGCACAGAAAATGCAGAGACTCCTTCTCTTCTGCCTTGGAAACCTCCACGTGAAGGAAAAGCTGGTTGATATCATCATCCTCGCCATCGCCGCCACCGTCGGCCTCGGCGCCATCTGGAATAATGTTGGCCAAACGCATTACGGACACTCTGATCTCCTCATTGTCACCGTAGCTTCTCCTCAGCACCGGACCGTTGTTGTCCAGCGCGCCCTTCACGACCGAGAACTCCGACGGAGGATCCACCTTCTGTTTTTCCCAAAAAAAAATCGACAAAAATTCAAAATCAAAGCTCCTTTTCAATTGAATCGGCTATATAGCTGGATATATATATATATATACACACACATACATATATATATATATGTATGTATGTATATGCACGTACAGGGGGAGGGGCCATTTTGGAGACTTCGAGATAGTGATCTTTGAGGGAGCGGAGAATCATGGAGTCGACGGCGGAGGAGACGGAGGTGGAGGAGCGCCGGAATGCTATAGTGCGCCATGGGTGGTTCTGGAGTGCGCAGGTTAAGACTTTCCTCCACATTTCTTCTTCTTCTTCTTCTTCTTCTTCCTCCTCCTTAAACCTTCGGCTTTTTGGGGACTGGGGTTTAGGAATCCGAAGAGAAGCCGAAATGAATTAGGATTATTTTTATAAATGCCCTTAAATTATGTATATTATTTTAAAGTACCCCTAATTTATTAAAACAGTTCAAAACACCCTATAATTTATAAAAAATAGATCAAATTGCTCTTTTAGTTTACTTCTGTCTATACTACTAATGAATTGCTGACGTGGCTCAGCGTTAAGCATTAATTAAAGGTATTAAATTTTAATTAAACTTAAAAAGATGATTAAGTATTAAAAAATTATAGAAAAGAAATAAAAATGGATTTTTTATTATTATTAAAGATGATGATAAAAGCAGAAGTTAAGGGGTTAAGACATCGTTTAGTTCATTGATTTGAGTTTTTAATTTGTATTGAGATGTAATTTTATGTGAGAATTTTTTATTATAGTAAAAAAATTAGATGTGATTGTTTCTAAGAATTTTTTTTTGTAAAAAAATTATAATTTTAAACTCAAATTGGTGAAATAAACGAGGCATAAATTTACTCAAGATTAAAAGACGTCTGAACCTTATATTAGAAGAGAAAATATTATTTTGCAAAACAAAAAAACACGTTGAACTCCAAAAGAGATCCAGGAACCAAGCAAGAAATCCATCAGTAGCACAAAAAAAAAAAAAAAAAAAAAAAAAAAAAAAAAAAAAAAAAACTCCCAGAGGAGAATAAACCCTCACGAGTGCTTAATGCATATATAGATACCTGTTTGCATAGTAACTGATGAGAAGAGAAAAGTTTCATACTTTACAGTGTACAGAACCTCAACCACCATGGAAGAACAGTCGAAGGAGGTGAAGCTTTACTTTTCTTGAGATTTTCTCTATTCTTCATTGGGGGATGATATTTTAGTTTTTTTTTTTTTAATTCAATTTGAAATTAAGGGGTTTTTGTTTTCTTTATTATTGTTTTAATACTTAACTATTATTTTTTAGGTTTGATTAGAATTTAATACCTTTGATTAATGATTAATGATGAGTCACGTCAATAATTCTGTTAGTAATTAGACGGAAGTAGACAGAATGAATAATTTAATTTATTTTTTTTATAAATTAAGGAATGTTTTAAATAATTTTAATAAATCAAATGGTATTTTAAAATATGATATATAGTTCAAAAGACATTTATAAAAATAATTCAATAAATTATATATATATATATATATATAGCCCGTTTAGTAGAGTTTTATTTTTACTTTTAAGATAATCAAAGTTATAGTTTTTCCGGTAAGTATTTGAAATAAAAAGCTTAATAGGTTAAAATAATTTTTAAATTTTTTAATAAGTAATAAAAGTGTTAGAATTAAGTTTATAATGTCTTGTTTAAATTCTAGTACAAGTTTAAAAGTCTATTTAGAAGTATTTTTTAAAAATCATAATTTTTAACTTTGACTGAAAGTTCTTCTAAAAAGCTAAAATATTTCTGACAAATCTTCTAAACACTTTTAAAATGAATGAGCAGGGGTTCTTGTTTGGGCAAAAAAGGTATAGTAGAACTGGAATATACAATTTTTTTTTTTTTTTTTTGAAATGAGGAACATACAATTTTGGATGTTAGTTTATTTTTTCAAACCCTTACCCGAAAAATCATTTTGATGAATCATGAGAATTTTATGGTACCAAGTGGTTATTGTGATCTTTTCTTTTTTATTAGATTAAAGAAAATAATAGAAAATATGTCAATATGAAAAGCTTAAGAAAATATATAGGCCAGTTTTTAGTTATAAAAATTAATAGGCCATAACTTGTCAAGTTATGGTTCATAACTAAATAAGTTATGGATAAACTTGTCAAGTTATGGTTCATAGTCGGACAAGTTATGGACAATTATGGATAATAACTTGTCAAGTTATGGTTCATAACCAGACTAGTTATGGACGAAAACAGTAATTTGGCCTATTTATTAACTTATGTAAACTATTGACCTATTAATTTTAATTCATCTCAAGTCTTGACATATTTTCCTCTTTCTCCTTTAGATTAATGGTTCGGAGTTGTGTCTTAATTTCTAATTTTTAGACATGAAAAATAGTAAAATTGAAATATAGAAACTTTTTATAAATATTTTAATAATAGAAAAAAATTAATATCATTAAAATAAAAATTATATTTTGATATAAATATGACATTATTGTAATAATTACTATGTAATTTTTGTTATTTTAAAAATATTCTAAAAAATATTCTAAATTTCATTTCTACCATAGGAATTTTATCATGTAACAAAAATATCATTTATTTTTTTTAAAAAGTATTGCTCTTCTATTTTAGAGTCCGGGCATAAGATTAGTATTCTCTATCATGGATATTTGTATGAATAATAATTCGTATTTGTATGAATAATAATTCGTACCCTTTGTATTGTTGACATAAAAAACTAATATAACCTAACAAAAAAATAATGGTATAAAACAAAACCATAACAATAGAGATTTTTGTTTCCTGTAGCCGCATACCTTACCAAAGAATTCTCATGATGTTATTAAAAATTGCATCACTGTGTTAGTTTTATTAAACTCAAACAAAACATGTGCCTCGTTTGAAAGTAAAATCACAATTGCAATCTACTATTTTGCCAATTGCAATTTCCAAAACGATGGCTCTTTTTGGAACCCAAGTTTTATGATAGAAAGAAAATATGGAGGGAGGTCTTGAGTTAAGTGTTGGGGGACGCAAAAAAGACAGTATGTATGAATAATGAGTATAAGACTCACCATGTCAGGAATCACTAAGGGGGGTGACACGTTACAATATTACATTTACATTCAAGTTGCCAACCTTTTAAAATTAATCTACACTTACCATTGGCTTAGTTAAGCCTAACTACTAGGATTAGTACTCACTCATCAGTTTTAAATTACTAAAGATAAGGATAGAAGAAATGCAAACTTTTGAGTTCATACAAAAGATTCAAAAAGTTTTAAGCAAGTTGACTGATTTTACGGCCAAAGCACACGCAAGAAGTGCAGATCTTGTACGTTGGAGAATAAGTGCATCCCTGTAAAAATATGCAGCTTGCTTTCTCTTCTTCATCATCACATGTTATTCTGAACATGAAGCAACAATTATTCAAGTGATTCATTATTGGATCTTCAGACACAAAACTCTATAAAATGCAAGTAGAACTACATACATACATATATATATATATATATATATATATATATATGTATCCCATGTAAGCAAGCGCATCAAATAGCATTTTAACAATTTATTACGAACAGTTTTTCGAACACAAAGACCTTATTCATTTCACCAATTCGAGTTTTCAATTTTAGGTTTCTCTAGTTAAAAACTCTCATAAAATGTCACAATTAACTTTTTTTTGCTACAGTTAAAAACTGTCAAAAAATGTCACATTTCAACTCGAATTGAAAACTCAAATCCGCGAAGCTCGTTTTTCAACCAACACAAGCTTTAGAAGGATGGATTATACCAAAGGCACTTCTAGCACTTTCAATAGAAAAGATTTACAAGATGCCCGGGTTAAATCATATTGCAATAACAATTTGGAGCCAACTTGCCATGCATCTAGAACTAAATGGCAACCAGGCTTCATTTTATCCAAAATTGTCTTCAGTATATCCTCTGGACGAAAAGGGGCAAAAACACTAACTGGTTTGATATTTATAAGGTGAACATCAGAATTTTCAATTTTCTTGCGTTTTTGTTGGTTCTTACTCTGCGGAATATTGACAAAATTCCACTAGTTAACTGCCATGTTCTTATTATTCAAGGAAGTTATACTAAATAACAGTCGTGCTCAAACTACACGACTCATAATTAATTCTCTCTACTATTTAACATGCTGAAAACATGAAAATTGCCATGCATTGATCTATATACATAAAGAAGATACTAATCAAACTTCCTAATTCCCTCTTATTTCCTCTGATTTCAACCAAAATTCCTAAAACAAGTTCATTTAAAATTACAATGCACCAACAAACAGTGAATAATTTACACTATCACATTGCACAAATCTAAAGATACAAATCAAGCGAACATGATTACAGCAAAGATAACATCAAGATGAAAACCAAACTAGGGCGATAAGAACATTATAATGAAGAGAAATTGAAAATAAAAAAGATGGTGAAAAACTGTACAAAATCGAGAAAAAGGAGCAAAAAAGCTCAAAATAGCAAACAAAATAAAGAGAATCGAACATTCGAGCCCCAATTGAAGCGATATTTACCAAGGAAGCAGGAAAGCACGTGCGAGATTCGACCATGGAAGAAATGCAGGTTGAGCTGCAAATTAGGTTACCAACGTGCAATTGAGAGCTCAGTCCCTTCTCGCCGTCGCGTTTGTCGGAAATGGCATCGAAATCGCCGACGATTCGGTGGTCTGCTTGGGCACAATGGAGAACAATGGAGAGGAGGAGAAGAAGAGAATACGAGAGAGGACAGCCCAATAAATTTTCCTCATTTCAACTATACTTTCCTCACTAATTTTCCAGGGAAAATGGAATCCAAGACCTACATTATAATTTTATACCCCTTTTCTCCCCCCTTTTTTTTTTTTTTTTTTTCCATCCCTTCTTTTGGTTCCAAACATGGGAACTCCATAAAATCCAGGTTCCAAGAGACCCTAAATGACGAAAGCAATCTGAAACCAATCTTTTCACTTCTTCCGCTGCTCATGTATAACCTTTACGAATTTTCTATTGGACTTGTCAACACCACTGCCGTTGCTACCCATTGCGAAGTTGCATTCGACAAAGCCAAAACTACTAGAAGCCTGAGGTGGAGAACGTACCTTTCTTCATTTGATACTAGTTTGATAATCATTACTCAAGCGCGCACCAAATGAGAATGTAGGATTAGGATTTCCAAACACAGGTTGGGTTGAGGTAGTAGCAGAAGATGAATTGAATGAGAAAAGAGAACTTGAAGATGCACCATCAGCAGAAGCTGTCGCTGCGCCAAATACCGGAGGTGAACTGCGGCCACACGAGGAGCTGAAGATACTCCAAAGGAAAACCCAGTTGATG